TCAACAGTTTATTCCAAATCTAAATATAATAGTTATCCATTCTCATTTATAATTTTCACAAAAGTCAAATATATCTTAAATTAGATGAGCATTATTCTCTATACTTACTACATCGACCATTAATATATGCTGACAGGTCTTCATTTTTTTTAAATAAAACTTTATCTTCTAGCAAAAACAAATGCAAGTATTTTTTACCCAAGTCTGTTAGGCTTATGGGTCTGTGGTTTTTTAAATTTTTTTTTTTTGCTCTTTTTATGTATCGGAATAAAAACGGCGAATTTTTTTTAGATGCTGGTACATGTAATTCACCATATTTAAAAGATATTAACAGTGAGTAATAAAGGAATTCATTATATCATTCCAACACAATTCGTAATATTAATAATAATAGTATTGCCATGTAGACCAGGAGATTAATTGTTATCCATTTAAGTATCTCTTCACACTCTTTAATGGTAGGTAATGCCTCGCTTATTTTTTGTTGTTCTGATTTGTTTTGTTTTTTAATTCTTACCAGTACTTTTTTGATAATTTCTATGTCTTCTGTTTTGAGGGTTTTGCGTTTTTTAATTTCATTATTCATATTATTGGAAAATTTAATGCCTTTTTTACAAAATTTTCTCCGCGCTTATCATTTTCCTTTAATACATGTTTAGACATACCTTTCACATTCTTTGGAACAGTTGTATTTGTAATTTCATCTGAAAATGCAAAAAACAATATTCACAAAACATAAATGCAAATACAGACACTCAAATTTATTTCTTTTAGAATGTTCAATAATGGATTATTGATATTTGTCATAATAGACTTCTTTGGGAGTTTCAAGCAGGGAGGGATGATGTTAATGGTCTGTAAAGCAAAGCAAACGATTATAAGATGAATTAAACTTTCGGAGAGTCAAAGTCCAAGGTCAATGAGCCCTTAGACCACACCACTTACCAGAGTCACACGGACTTTGCCTTTTTACGCAGATTTTTTAAAAACAATTTACATGTACTATCAATTCACAGGTACTATAAACTTTGACCTCATAATGTTGCAAATGGCGCATGCGAGACCCTAATGAAAATATGATGTGAACAATTTGTTCCAACGTAAAAGATTTCCTATTGTGACTACAGTACTTCTAATCAATATATCCTGAAAATATAATTATGTATCTTGTCCGATCAGTGAACACAAATGTTTTTATAATGGACCGTATAAGTCAATTGTATTTAATAAGCTTATATCTGAAAGACCTGACTTTATAAAATACCATTCTGTTTGTGATTCGCCTTTCAGTAGGACATAGAGGTTAAGACAAGAGATTAACTTCAAACCCCCCCCCCCCAAAAAAAAAAAAGAAACAGACTAATATGCAAGTCTATACGGTAATCTTTACATTTCTTTTTTTTTTTGCTCTGAATGATAACTCTTTGCAAGTCAGAGGAGTTAATTTCTTGATAATTCTACCGGAGTGTTCATTAGGCAGGTCGATAGGTCAGGAGCTAAGGAGGCCCAATATGCATGCAAATCTCGTGCGCATCTGTCTCTGTGTTTGACGCTAAGGAGGCCAAATATAAATGTAAATCTCTTGCGGCTGCCTTTGTATTTGACGTCAATGGCATGGGAGTCCTCGTGTAATTTAAATTTATGTTTACATTTTTAAAGTATAAATCTACAATTTTTTTCACAATGAAATTGAAATATAAGGACTGTGTGGTTAGTATAGCATGCCACTGACATCAATGATAGTGGGAAACATGGGATAATTTATTCATAACGGGTTTCGCTCGTTAAGCAAATTATCCCACGTATATCCCACTCTCGTTGATGCCTTGGCATACAATACTATCTATTCAATGATTCCTTATTCAAATTAAAAGGAACGAAAGGTGTGATTTCTAATTTTTAAAAATATGGAATTTTTGAGGTGGTGAAGTGAACGTCTAGACAGCAAAGTTCGACTTATTTTCTGTTCTCTTTACACATTTTTAAATCTAAAAAGCTATAATATAAGATAAGATAAGATAATATTTATTTAAAGTCGGGTATACCAACAAAGAACATTAGCTCTGAAGAGCTATTTTCCGACTAAAATATAAAACTGCAGGAAATCAAGATTTTAATTTAGTGGTCTATTTATAAACTTCAGTCGGTTAAACATTGCAAAAAGAAATATTTATTTGCCCACATGATGTGTTTAAATGGTTTAATTTGCCTTAAATGAGAATAACATTCCTTAATTGATAATTGAAAATCTTAATAGTATAGGGGTGTAATTGATGCTAGTATTATCGGGAATAAAGGACAATGTGGCTTTGTACATAGTTATCTGTTTCACTTACCAACAATTTTTAGCATTTTATTCTGATTTTCTATTCTATCCGTATCACGCATTTCTAAATCACCTGAAATGGAAAATACTTTTAAGAAAGAAAGCAAAAATTGAAGAAAGAAAACCAAACATGTCTCAACAGTCGAGTTACATTTCTTTTGTTAGATTCAAATTCTTGTATAGAATTTACGTTTCAGCAAATGGACTTTTTCTCTAGTTGATGCATCTTCTTCCGCTTGTTTTCTCAATTCTTCAATATAATGACGGTCACGGTCAGGGTCCATGGTCTCATATCGCAAAAAATCCACCTCTCTTTCGTACTTGTTTCCATTGTTAAGAAAGGAATCAATGTTCACTACTGCTGATCTTACATTGGACCAGATTGTGTTGAAATCAGTTTTGGAGAGAACAGGACTAGAAGAATGTACACACTGATTTCTAGCAATACGCATCCTTTCAATGTTGGCAGAGAGAGATCGGTCCGTGGGGTTTGGATCATTTCCCCAACCATTTGTGTGAGACGATATGCCACAAATGTTTCTGAGTAGTGAGTACAATAAAGGAATGTCCATATCATTATAGTTTCCAGTATAACTGCTACCTCTAGGTAAAATCAGATTTGTTTGTGGTGCTGTAAGGCGCGGAAGATTACTTCTGTTGACGGTGGTACATGGTGAACTAAAACGTCCCTCATTTGATCTGTACACGGACCCAGGAGAAGTCGACAGGCTCTACAGGCATTTGTCGTCTCCTCTGTAGAGGCGTACGGGGAGGCTGCCATAGCCATTATTTAATGTTTCCCTGGAAAATAATTATGAATGAAAATGGCTTCTATTTAACACATGAAACAAAAAAAAAATACATGTAATGTTTTCAATAGACTAATCTAATAAGAATTGCCTTATTCATTTATTAACATGCATTAATGCTCTTTGCAGATTTTATGTCATGAAATAAATTAAATGTCAGAAAGGACGGTACTGTTTAATAGTGTTTAAATATTTATACACCCATGCATATATCAGACTGTGTGAACTGTAACTGTAACTTGACATAATATAATGCCCTTAACTGAGCAATTTGGCATCTAATTATACATCCATGAAATAAGTATAATGTATATAATAATTACTGCGTATAAATTGACTTTACATGTATTTTGATCAATTTTGTTTTAAAAGTCTACCCTGTTTACTGTTTTACCAAAACAATAGTCACAATATTTTTCATTTATACACAAGATTAGCACTTTTCCTGAGTATTAAGAATAAAATTAAAATTTGTGAAAGTGTGAGATTGTGTCAATCAAACCCTTCCAAAAAATCAAAGTTTCAATAACTTGCCAATGAAATAAGATTATTGATTATATAAGTTTGAAATACTTTTACAATACACATCGGGAAATCGTGATGTACAGAAAATAATAACTTCAAATCTGTGTCTATGCACCTTTGATAATTAAGCTAGTATATACTGTTTTCTTTTTTTTTTATTAAATACATAGAAGAAGCTCTCTGCTCTGATAGGCACTAATAGGCTTCCGTAGTATTCAACTCCTATTAAAAAATATAATACCAGGGAAAAAAATCTCTTAGAGAGATTATGCATGGTTTGTTAATGCACGTAGGGTTTTCCAAATTTCCTGAATGCATATCGCTTTCTATAAATAGCATTGATGTTCCTGCATCAAAATTCAGTTGTTACATGTATTAATAAGCAAATTGTTTTATGTCATCTGAATTGAACATATTTTATTGACAAAGTCAAAAGGATCAGACACAAGTTCAGAAACTTAGATAGTCCTCTCCTGATAGTCCTCTCCTGATATAACATTTTGTGAAATTGCCAAAGTAAAACAAACATATATACATATGGTCTACTATATACATTGTATACAATGTAGCAAATAGAAAGGAATAAATTCTTTAAATATACAAATATAATTTGAGATGGTGAGGAAAAAAAAAAAATAAAAAAAGTAAACTTATTTTGAAAAACGACCACATTCATTTAAGAAAGTTTGAATAGTCTTGAAAAGTTCAGCATTTTGTTCAAAAGTTAGAGAATCATCGCCCCATAGCATTTAATGTACATCTATAATATGTAAATAATTTAATGACAATAGCTTATTCATTAAGGAATTGCTTGCTTTTACATAATATTTACAAACAAAAAACAGATGATATGTATCTTCTAGAAGTCCACAAGAACAATTAGGACTGGTTATTAGGTTACAGCGATATAAATCAGACTTTAAAATACAATTGTGTCTTAATCTTGTATGAATTATGTTCAAAAACCTTTTACCATAAGAAAAATATTTCTGAGGTTTTACATTACTGTTTTTCAGATAGTTTTTGAAATTTTTAATAGAAGTTGCCTCCCTTGTTTTTAGACTAAGAGAATTCCACTTTCTAACAGTATCGGGAATAAATGATTTATTGTAGAGTTCTAATCTGTATTTTGGCAAAGAATAATTTAAAGAATTACGGGTAGTGTATCCTGAAATATTGCCTTTTGTATCTAAGTTTTGCAAGTAAATAGGGACTAAATTATTGTGCATTTTATACATTGTTATTAGTTTTGCCCTATTTCTTCTATATTCCAGTGGTTCCCAGCCTGTTTCCAAATATAATGAATTTCTTGAAGCAATAATTGTAAGCCCAGTAACTATTCTTGCAGCATTTAACTGTACTTTTTCAAGATTCTCAATACCTGTTTTTGTGCATCCAGACCAAACTTCAACAGCATATTCAAGTTGTGGTCTAATAAAAGATATATACATCTGGGATAGAATATCTCTTGACACAGTAAATTTTAATTTTTTAAGAAGCCCCAATTTTTTGTATGCTTTCTTTATAATTGTATCAATATGATCAGACCATCCTAAGTTAGACGACAGAAGTATCCCAAGATGTTTGTGTTCTGTAACATATTCCAATTGGCAATTGTCAAAAAATAATTTAGGAAAATGCTGTACATTTTTTAAATTAAAAGATACTGATTTGGTTTTCTGTGGATTGAATTTCAATAACCATTTCTTTGACCATTCATCTAGTATTCTAAGATCATGGTTAAGATTTTGTTCAATATGATTAATATTATCTGAACATTGTTGTAAAGAATTATCATCAGCAAATAGTCTACAAACAGATATCATATTTTCAGCCACATCATTTACATATAATAAAAATAATAGGGGACCAAGTACTGAGCCCTGGGGAACTCCAGCTTTTACTTGTCCTACAGAGGAAAAATGATTTCTATACATGACTTGTTGGGTTCTTTTGCTTAAATAACTATCAAACCAATCTAGCATATCCCCATTAATTCCATACATTTTTAATTTGTAAATTAAGCCTTTGTGCCAGACCCTATCAAATGCCTTTGATAAATCACAAAACACCATACAACAGAATTTACCTTCATCAACACTTTTTACAATAGAATGGTATGTTTCTAAGAGTTGATATACTGTGGAATGACCTGGTAAAAAACCTGCCTGGTATTTATAAAATATATTATGTGAATACAAGAAATTGTAAACATGCTTAAAATTATTCTTTCAAACATTTTGCTTATACAACTTAGCAAAGAGACTGGTCTATAGTTTGAAGTGATGGAAGGGTCATCTTTCTTAAAAAGTGGAAGAACATGTGCTAGTTTCCAGCAGTCTGGAAATGTTTTTAGTGATAGGGATTTGTTGAATAGTATACACAAAGGTTTTGAGATAGTTTCTTTGCAAGATTTTAACATTTTATGGCTGATGCAATCAGGACCAACGGCTTTATTGACAGGAATAATAGAAATTATATCAATGATTTCTTGCTCTTGTATTTCAATGTGTGGAAAATTATCCGTACATCTTGACACTATATTTGGGAGCTCTTGATTACTGTCATCTAACTCTGTAATTGATGTGAAATATTTGTTTAATAGTTCTATTTTATCTATGTCTGAAAATGCAAAACTTTCAGTGCCACTGTTGTCTGTAAACTGAATAGGTGGAATTTCATTTGTAGGTTTAATGTGAAAAGTATCTTTCAGTAACTTCCAGTATAGTTTTTGATTGTTCAGACTAGCATCCTTAAGATGAGAATCTATATTGTCATAATAGTTTTTAATAGCATATTTTTTCATATTATTAAACTTATTCCTTACTTTGCGAAAGTTTTCCTTATCAGATTCTCTTTTTGTTTTTTGTGCTATTTTTCTTAGTGTCATCTTTTAACATAAGCGTACGTATAAAATATTGAATATGTTTTATCTTGTTTATTAACTTTCAGAACTGTCGTTAAATACGTCGACGAAATGCGCGTGCTTATACACAATGACCTGAATTCCACAGTCTACAAAAAAAAAAAAAAACTCAGGCATGTGGACATGTTTTAACAATATTTTAAAGACGACCATCTGAATCTGAGATGGAGTATTTCAAAATCTGCCAACTCAAGTCAGATCAAAAGGTCGCTACCTTACATGGAAACATGAGTGCTACGTACTTAAGGTTCATAGAAGTAAATTGAAAGTTAGGACATAAATTAACAATGAAGTAAATAAAGAGAGGTGGCAGTAGGGGGACTAAGAGTTTATTCAGTTTGTATAGAGGATGCCTTACTCGGCACATAAAAAAATCAACGGTGTCTCTAAGGAGGAAAAAACTATAGCTACAACAAATGTTTGTGGTTTATTATTTAATTCTATTTCATGAAAATGTATTTAATAAGTATTTGATTTTTAATTTTGTTAAAGAATTTATTTAATGATTTATTCAAAATAGATTTTTTACGAAATTTAAAACGTAACTCAGTTGAATTCAATTTAATTAAATTAAATATCAGAATAATGCATGTGTAATTAATCTAATATAACTTCGACATGTATAGCATGAATAATACTAAGTAACATAATCGAGGTGCAGTATGTACCTTCAATCAAAATAAATTCCACATGCATTATTTATTTTAATGTTTCTGAGGAGTACATGCACCTTTAATTAACAAGCAGAACATATTTATTTAATATCGTACTAATTATCTAGCTGGTGATATTGTTTAATTGTAAAAAATAAATACATGTATATGTGATTAGAAATGTCTTGAAATTGATACATATTATACACTGTATACATTTTCTTTCTTGTAGAGACTGGTCTTTCTCAGTATAAATTTAATATGTGCATATTCTAAGTTAGTTTCTAATATTTTCTTGATTACCTTGCTTCTATTCAGTGATGTTTTATGTATTTGATATGACTTAGAATTCTAAAAAAGTAGAATTAATCTTAAGCGGCGCATATATTGACCTATTTGTGCATTAGCCAAAAGTAGTCCAGGTCCTCTTGTAGGCCAATATATAATTCATACAAACCTTTCATTTAAAATCTTCTAACACTGTCACAATAATGGTAAAAAGGTCCAGATGTATGTTCACAGCCTTAGGTCATCCTGTGCATCACTCCCTTACTAAGCTAGACCTGCATTCCACATTACAAGTTTGGTGGCCGTAAAGTTGTAAATATTATATTCTGTAATAAAAAATGGTTCTTACGATAGCTTCAGTAAAAAAACCCGTTGTGTATAGATGGAAAGTCAGATAAACACAGCCATCCTGCATATATTTCCACAAGATAACATCAGCCTGTGGATACATCACTTCCGCTTTTGTGACTCTTATTATATGTGAGAGTGAATTTGAGGTGCGGATCGATGAACATTTTGTTTTTCTCATGTAATGATATTTTTACGTTATATCTGTAATTTATTTGCTCAATGATATACTTTTTTATGATATCATGAGGAACATGGTATTGTATACATACAGGAAACAAGTATTATTTCAAAATGAAAAAAGAATCAATTTTCTATTATAGCTCATACGTATGAAGTTAAAAACTATGACAGGCAAATTAAAAATATCTTTTGAAAAAAAAATCAATTTCAAAGGTCATTTTTAAAATACCAGCATACTCTTTATAAATTCAAGTCATAATGGGATATTAACAAATGCATAAAAAATTCTAACTTTTTTATTAGATTTTCATTGGAAAAGAAGATATTTCTGCATACTTGTGTCATGGATAAAAATAATTAAATCTAGAAATTGTGAGGTTTTTCCTCTAATTTGCACAAGGTATTTTGTACTATAGTTTATACGAAATATAACTTTGGGCAATGCATGCAACTTATCACTTTACAAAAATAGCACATTGCAACATATATTATGTGGTGGTTTTTACCTGTATTTAATTATATGTGTATGTAATTATATGTATTTATCTATATGTGCCATATTTTATTGATATTTTCCATTGTTTGTCATTCCTTTTATTTAGAGTTATTCCCCTTTGTTTATAACCCGTTCGGGTTGGGCGCGCCCGGGTCTATAGTACCCGGCCGGGATTTACTATTATTATATGCCATGTATATTGTGTAATTAAAGGCAGTCTACATTATCATTAATTACTGATCAGACGTATTTTTGGGGACTGGGCTAAATTTCTACAATGGTAATTATTGCATTCTTGGATTTTATATGATATTGTTTCATATCTAATACGTTTGTTTGTAAATTGTAAATATTGCAACAGAATATAGTAATTCTTTAAACACTGAAATTCTTGTCATTCTTTTATCCTTTGAACTCGGACTATATGTACAGGACTAACCCCTAGACAGTCCCGTTACAATTAATACAAAAATAATGACTCTCAATGAGCTTAAATTGGGATGAAAACCCTGGTGAAGGGTTCCTCAATCCCACAGTTTATTTTATAGTACACAATGCTAATATGATATTGATATTATATAAAACAGTACAGTACATAATCATTTATAATTTAATATAACAAAGTCATTTTTCGACAGTATAAATGGAAATTTCAGCAAGACGCAAATTTAGCAATTTGAACTTAAAACAATATTGGTGTTTATTTTAGCAACATGTAATTTTAATGTTTTAGAAAGCTCACTGAAGAACCTATTACAACGAAAATGCAATTAATCTTAGAAATATTGGCACTTTTGATGATAATACCAAAATTAAATCCTCGCTAAAAATTCTGCTTAAACGATATACAAACATCGGACAGTAAATCTTTTTTTTCCCAATCATTTATTTCCCAGACTTATAACAATCAACAGCTGATAAGTAGGACAGCTGCCAGGGATGGTGCCCTGACTAAGCTCCCTCTATAACAATACATAATATTGATCCCTACAGCACCTCGCAGGGTGCTTTATTATTTAAATACAAAGACATAATTTTACATAAAACATATAGTAAATCAAATAATATATGTACATGATTGTATATATAAATATGGAATCAGTTTTGGAGAAAATGTGACAATAAAATGTAAATTTATAACTATGATAAGATCATTGTTTTGTTATTTAAATCTGTACTGAGAAAAACAGGTAACAGTTAATCGAAGTCTGTAAGCATATTTAATGTTAATTTTAAATTTCTGTTGGAATTACTCTTATCATTTCTTAAGAGTTGAAAGATTGATTTCATTTCTTCCTTGAAATCATTCAAGAATATTGAAGTTGTAATATTTTTATTTTCATACTTAATGCTGTTTCTTGTTTTCCATATTGACCACTTGTATATATAAATCAAGGTGTTAATACAAATTCGAACATTTTTGGGTTCTCCAGCGAATCCCAATAAAACAATACATACATCAACTTTGATTGGATTTACTAATTTTTATCATAATATTTTCTAGAATTGGTTTGACACGATTACATTCATAAAATAAATGTTTCTGACTCTCAATATTTGATTTACAGAAAAAACATTTACCATTTGTTAAGCCCATTTTGCTTAATTTTTCTTCAGTGTATAAGATGTTATGCAAACATTTACATTGAAATTCTTGAATCTTTTGTTTTAACCTAACTTCATAAATTGAGTCCCAATTTTTTTTCTATGTAATTTCAATTTGCATCATTTTCTCCTATTTCTTTTGAGATTTTGGAGTGATATTTTTGTTTAATACTCTTTGTATATCTTTGAGTTTTATATCTTCAAAATTTATGAATTTGTTTGTTTTTCTTAGAAATAAAAAATTATCACACAACACAAAATAATTATTTATTTCATTATCTATTCTATTTACAGATTTCTCCCTTCAAGAATGTCAAGATAGGTCTTAGGTATAGCGGTTTTTATTTTACTGTATTCAAAAATCCAACTCCTTTTATCAAGAAGTTTTGAAAATATGTAAGCATTAGTCTTAAAAGTCTTAGTATCGTTATCCCAAATATCTGCAATAGTTTGTAGACCACTTTTAATAAAAGACTCTATACATAGGCTTTTGCCTCGAAATTGTATATATTTAATTATACAATAAATCTTACACGGATCGACAGATAGACGTGGTGTCTTCCCACGTATCCAACATTTTGGAAAAAATGCAGGTTAAACACAGGTAAATCTGTGTTAACTAAGTAGAAAAAAAAGAATAATATTTGATACAGAAAGACTGTAGTCTGATTAACGCTACGTGTTTGAGCTGAATAAAATATTTCTTAACGTTAGTCTAAATTATTTTGTGGCATGTTTATTTAAGAACACCAGATAATCAACATTAAAAAGGCCTCTCTTAGTAATATTTTAAAGCAAAATGGTATTATGGAAAACTGATGGGCTGTTTTGCACAAAGCTATATTTTGAATAAACTATTTTATAAAATACATCATGCAAAATTAAGAAAAATATATATATATATAAAAATCTAGATTTCATTGTTTTATCCTTCACACAAGTATGACAAAAATGCATTCTTTTGAGAACATATTTAAGAAAGTCTGCAGCAATATTTTCTTTTCCAATAAAAATGTCCAAAAAAAAAAAGAATTTTTTTATGCATTTGCGTATCCCATAGTGACTTGAAATTATACAGCATATGCTGGTATATTAAAATATAAATGACACTTGAAGTTGATTTTTTTCGAAAGTTTTTTTTTTTAATTTGCCCGTCATAATTTTTCAATTCATCCTTGTGACCTAATAGTAAATTGTTTTTTTATTCATCTTGAAAGTAGATTTCCTTATAAAATTTAAAGCGACTTTCACTGGTAATATATAAGAGAGGAAAATTATGTTTTTGTGAGCAAAGTTCATCGATCCGCCTCTAAACGTCACTCTCATATCACTCTCATATATATAGCATAAAGCGGAAGTGATGCATCCACCACAGCCTGGTGTTATCTTTTGTATATATTTACAGGATGGCTGTGTTTACCTGACTTTTCATCTAAAAACAAAGGTTTTTTTTCACTGAAGCTATCTAAAGAACCATTCTTGATGGTTACGGAATATAATATTTACTACTGAACGGACACCAAACGTGGTATGCTCAGCGCAGATCTAGTTTAGTCAGTGATAAATGCACAGGATGACTAAAGACTGTGAAAATAAATCAGTTATGGATTTTTATCGTTATTGTGACAGTATTAGAAGATTTTAATGAAAACACGACAACGATTTTTTTTATACATGGGACTTTTTACACAACCTGACTTGACAAGGTATGTATGAATAATATATGGGCCTAGGATAGGACTTGGACTACTTTTGCACAAATAGGTCAATACGTGCGCCGCTTTAGATTAATTCCACTTTCTTAAAATTCAATACACAAACTTCAAGATTCTAACTCATATCCAAAATATAAAACAGCACTGAATAAAAACAAAGTAAATCACGAAAACAATATAGCATCTAACTTAGAATATTTATGCACATGTTTTTATTATTATTATTGAATGAATGCTTTAATAAGTAAAGAATGATAAAAAATGTAATCAATGTCATTAAAAAATATTTTAAAAAACTATCACAAAGAGACTTAGTCGCTACAAAACTTTATCTGATTTGACCATATTGTCTTATTCAAGTTTCCACCAAACATTTTAGCAATTTGATTTTTAAGTTTAATACATTTAATACATTCCTGGATATTTTTGTTCAAACATGGTTCTTGTAACACTAGTTAACAGCATAGCTTTACAGCTGTTGAAACATATATGTTAAAATTGACCTGAGAAAAAAGCAACAATTTGAAAATTTTTATTAAATTAAAAAAAAACTGTCAATGGATCCATGCATCTTTTTCCTTATTTTTTTTATATTACAATTTAAGAAAATAACAAGATTCTTGATTATATTAATTGTAATAGTTTCTTCTTATGCCCAGGATCGAAAGATCCCGAAAATATATAGTTTTTATCATCCATCTGTTTATCTGTTTGTCTGTCTGTCATCCACTTTTACATAGCTCATAATTATTGAGTAGGTGGGGCTATGGCTGACATATTTCACAGGTGTGTTCCTTGTGACAAAACCTTTCCATGGGTACCGCCAAATTTGACCTCTTGACATTGGCCTTGGCTTTGAACTACTTTTACAAAAAAAAAACACACTTTAACCTTGGCCATAACTTTTGAACAGTTGGGGCTAGGGCTTTCATCCTTCACATGTGTGTTCATTGTACACATCCTTCACATGTGTAATCATTGTACAACCTTTGCATGGGTACCACCAAATTTGACCTCTTGAAACTGACCTTGGCTTTAATCTACTTTTACAAAAAAAAAATACTTTAAACTTGGCCATAACTTTTGAACAGTTGGAACTAGGACTTTCATCCTTCACATGTGCATTCATTTCAGCTGATATCAATATTTTTACCTTGACCTAAGAGTTTGACCCAGTTTTCAAAAACTTGAACCTTGGTCATAACCTTTGAACAAATAGGGACACTTTTGTCCATGGCCTTTGATATAAGTCTGATACTCAGTATGCATTTGAGATTATTCAACCCTCGCAATAAGTTGCCATGCAGGGGGCATCAGTGTTTCACAAACAAATCACTTATAATTGCTCAAGTATTATTTTCTGAATTATTTTTTTCAGAAAAGCATAGAGAGAATGCAATTCTATTCTACCATGTCTGCAGAGAAAACAACAAATGCGTGTAGAGCGTGTCGACTTCTTTTGGGTCCATGCACAGATGAACTACGTGATGTATTACGTCATCATGTACCACCGTCGACATTTCAACATGTCATTGTACAAAAGATAAGTAATCTTCCTCGTCTGACAGTGCAACAGTTAAATCTAATTTTACCTCGTGGTAGTACTTATGCTGGAAATTATAATGATATGGATATTCCTTTATTGAACATACTGCTTAGAAACATATGTGGCATACCACCACACAATAATGGTTGGGGCAATGACCCAGATCCTAAAGACAGGTCTCTTTCTCCCAACATTGAGAGGATTTGCATCGCTAGAAATCAGTGTCTAAATCTTTCCAGCCCAATACTTTCCAATGCTGATTTCAACACAATCTGGTCCACTGTTAGATCAGCAGTTGTTGATCTTGACTCTTTCCTTAACAATGGAAATCATTTTGAAAAAGAGGTGGATTTTTTGAGACATGAGACAATGGACCCTGTTAATGACCATCACTACCTTGAAGAACTGAGAAACCAGGCTGAAGAAAATATAGCAACAGGAGAAATAGTGCACAGACTTAAACGTAAATTTGAAAACCTAATCTGAACAAAAACAGAAAATTTTTAAAACTAATCAAACCAATTTTGCATGTTACTTCTTTTTTTAAAATCTTTTCATAATTTCAGGTAAATTAGAAGAGAGAGGTACAGATCGAATTGAGAATCAAAACAAAATGCTGAAAATTATTGGTAAGTATAGTATTTTTTTAATTAAGTAAATTTAGAACACTACCCCTAAGGGGCCTAGGAGTTTTGGCCAAAATTAACAAGATTTATAATGTACTACAATATTTTTCCTTTTTTACTGTTTGACATCAAGCAATCAAATTTTCAGGATGATAGTACTTTTGAATTTACTCAGAGTAATAGTAATTAAATCTCTTTGTACTTGTGTGATTTTTTTAAAAAAGTTATATTCTTTTCAGATAATTTATCAACTGCAGCTGTTCCCCCAAATGTGAAAGGTATGTGGATCTGGTTGAAATAAATGTAAATCAAACGTGTTGAAGGTAACGAAATGCTCTTCAGCTAAACATATACTTTGTATCAATAAATGAAAACAGTGATAAAAAATACTTTATTAAATTTAGAACAGAGAAATACTTTAATTTATTGAATAAAAGGGATATCTTTTGCATAAAAAAAGGATGATCCAAGTTTTTCTTTGGAATCTAAAGGAAAATCTTCATAACTTTTCTTCTCAAGAACAGCAAAGCCACGATGGGTCATATTTATGTGGAAGCATCCTCGTGTAGCGTACTTTACAGTCTGTAAAAATCAGAACCCCTAGAGGTAGGTTGGGGCCACAATGAATGATCAAAGTTTTTATATAAGAATATACTCACAATCAGGAAAGGTCAAATTTATTTTGAACCAATCTCATTTGTTGTTGATTCAAGTTTTTTTTGTTCTAACTATACCCTAGGAGGAAGGGTAGGGCCATAAGGGACAATCAAAGATCATCTCTAGAGCTATGACTAGACATATTTATATTGAATCATCTTCAGGTAGTGTAGATTCTAGGTTGTTCAAATAATGAGACCCGGGATAGAGTGGAGCTACAATGGACGATGCATCTTGGATCTTGGGAGAATGTCAACCAAAAAGTAGGTCACCAAGACCTACTTTTGAAATTTCATGACTTTTAAAATTGTTTAAATATCACAGGTCCTTATATTGATCAACTTAGAATCAGCAAAATTTGTCAGTGGATGTATCTTTGCTCTTTGAAGGGTCATTAAAAAGTACGTAACTGACTTACATTTGATTATTATGGCAATATCTAAATATTTCAGGTACTAATTGGCTAAGAATCATCAAACTTTGTCAGTGGATGCAACTTGGTCCTCAGAATTAGAAAGACCAAGGCATATATAGTTGGCTCTGTTCCAACATTCTGTCATCATTGACTCTTTATTCATTATCTTGTGAACAGCTGCACATATTCAACTCAAATTTAACATATGAATACGAAATATTAATATACATGTCAAATTCGAATTTAGTCATGGTCTGATGATTTTTCACAAAGTAATCCCTCAAGCTTAGAGGGAAAAAATATGTTTCCTCTCTGTGGCGTTTGTAGGGAAGTCTGTATAATGTTGAAATTGCATATACAGCTATTTTATCAGATGATAGATGTCAAAGAACAAGAGCCACGAAGCATCAAAATCCGCACCGTATTCAACATTTATGATTTTTTGTGGAATGATGGCCTAGTATGTGTACGTTGTAAAACAGTTTATTTTTTAAATATATCTTTTATAGTTTTCTTTTTACAGGTGTTTGAAATAAGCATTGTTTTTTTTCGAATGAAATACTATTACGTCATGTCGTTGACGTTAAACACGTTAAATACATGACATTGAAATTATTTATAAGAGATAACAAATTTACACTGATGGAAAATAATTCACAAGAGTAGAATTAGAATAATATTAAATAATATCGAGTGTTTGAGGGGATGGTGAGGCGGGCGTTGTGTTGTTTTTGTTGAGAAAGTGCACGTGTACTAAGCTGGAATTTTTAGCAATCTCTTAGATGTCATTTTTCATTAAAATTTTTTTTTTCTTAAATAAATGATGTTAAAGACTTTATTCTGCCTAGTATTTTCCTATTGTGAGAATCCAAATTCACAAAACTAATTGATATTTATAAAGGGAAAAAGGAATCAAGAAGGTTTCACCCGAGAATACGTATAGAATAAATAACATGCATGTACATGTATATTATAAAATTAAATAAAAGCAGGCTGAATACGTCATTTATCAGGTCGTCATACACTTTGAATTCACTTTTTAAAAGTTTTAAGCAGTTTCCCAGACGTCTCCAACGAAATAGTGCAACATAATAGACGGAAATGATGACATTTCGGTGGACCAAAGAGCAAAGCGAGCAATTAATCTTGAACCTTGCCGCCCCCCAATCTTGCCGACATATAAAATACTTTGGAAAAGATAGAACTAAGGTAATATATGCTTGTGTCCATTGATAATACGTCTGATGATTTTTTTTTTTGCTTTAGTAGTTGATGGTGACCCCAGCTGTAGAAATATGACTGTACCCCTCCCCCATACAACTGTGATTGTAACTGCTAAAATAGGCCCGAACTAAGAAGAATCCCATCTTAGATCCTGTCTCCTGATAGACAAAACATACGAACAAACATCTCCTGGTAGTATTGAATCATGCTATCAATTAATGCAGACCATTGAAATGATTTCGTTTACATGTATTTTTATGCAGCTGAACAATGTAAGAGTTTGTTTATAAAAGGCCCCGTATATGTGTACCAGATTTATTGCCGTCTCACCAGACACCAAGGACAATTCCATATACATGCATCAGTGAAATTCTGTCTAGACCCTCTCACTCCCTTGGAATTAGCGCAGTTGACAGCGAAGTAGCGAAGTACAAAGTCAATTAAAAGTGACCTAGACCCCTACGTAAAAATACAGATCCCTCATTGAAAATGTGTTTTATGTGAAATTGGTAGTAAAAGTAAAAGATATGAAGCTTTAAAAGTCAAAGCCCCCTCTCCCCCCCACACGTTTTTTAGCTTGTCAAGAAATTTTCGGGTTGGAAATTTATCTTCGATCAGGGTTCCCTGCCCCCCGAAAAATTTTCCTTGATCGGTGCCTGCAATAATTATGAATAATATGATGTATTCCCTCTTAAGATTTGTACATAATTCTTCTGACCCGGATTCATGCGCGGGTCTAGAGTGGGCGTCCCCCCCCCGGGATTTGCAAGATTATTAAATGTATACAGGAGTAAGAAAAAAGTTACCTTGGACCCCCCTGGTAAACACGAATCCGTGTGAAATCGGTATGAAAAGTGAACGATTTCAAGCAATACCACCACCACCACTACGAAATAGGTTTTTGAAGTTTGGGCGAGTTTTTTTTTTTTTTTTTTTTTTAGCTTGTTAAGAAATTTCTCCCCTAGAAATAATTTCTGAATTTGTGGATTTATGTTATCAGTTTCAAATTGTTAGTATTCAATATTTCCATATAAGTTTATGTAAGTTTAACTTGACAAGTATTGTAATTAAACCACTGCCCCCGATATAACAATAACATGACTAAGATATACGTGAAAACTGGGGATTTCCTATTTTACTGTAGTAGACTTATAAAAACCTTTTTACAGATTAGCTATATTGAGCTGACCTTTACGCATCCGACTTTGAACTCGATTAGGATACTAGTAGATGAAATTAATGAAAACTAAAAGGGGAAAAAAAAGTAAAATTACATTTTGAGCAGCTTATTAACGCATCCGACTTTTTAATTATTAAATATCTCAGTGGTCTCATATGTATCACATCCTGTATATATATCTAGCCAAGACTCCATATTGATACTTAATTTCATAGAATATGTAACTGTTGTACACAAATCATTTACAATGATCGAAGGAGAGCGGACTCTGTGTGAACAGACTGATAGGGTGAACAGACCCAATACCATACATGTACGAGTCCGAGGGAGGGAGGCCCCAGGCCTAATATTGTTCTGGGGTTGATATGGTTTGTGATATAAATTTTGACACATATATTATTATTCTTTAAGTTTTGATCTAAAATTGGAAAATACGTATACATGTCTATAATCGTGCAACGTCAGGAATTTCTGCTCAACGTTGTAACGTCAAACGACGTCAATATGAACTGCTAACGCGCAGTGTTTAAATATATGTATTTAAAGAATTACATATAATGCCAGTGAAGGAATTATAAATATCAATTTGTTGACAGCACGTTAGAGAAATATACTTTTTTCGATAAATACATAAATATGAAGTCCCTCAGTTTAGATCGGTGTGGAAGATTCAATAATTCGTCATCATGAGGTCTAGGTTCTTGAAATGTTTTACGAGTAATCTCCCTTTGATTACATAGTGACCATGGCGGCGAGGCGTTGGGATCAAGTTGTAAATAGGAATTCACACAAAGAAATATAAAAAAGAGTATACACTAATTTTTTTCCTAAATTATAGGTATAATTGATTGAATCTGAATCAGCTATGTCAAGAAAAAGTCTTGGTTCACAACCACGGTAGGGATAGAAAGAAGTCGACAATACTGCATGCTGTAATATTTTGTACATAAAGCACGTGGATTTCGTTTTCCTTTTTCCTACCACACACAAAATCCAATATATTTCACACTAGACAATTCATTTTGATAAATTTTTAAGGTAGAAAGCACAGCATTTTTTTTTTTTTGGTAATATCATGAAATCTTCCCGAAAATCCGCTGTGGTGGTCGGTTTTCAGAGGAACTATATGGAAAGAAAAGTTAAGTTTTCGATGTGGCCACACGTGATGAACAAAATAAAAATAAGTCCTATGTATTTACTTTTTTATCCTCTTTTTAATGACATAAATTTTATTTTGTTCGTAGAGTGTGGCCAATGTCAAATTTTGAGTTAAAGATGTGCAAAGTGCACGTGTTTAGACGTTTACTGTTCAATTATGACGTCATCAAATGAAAAATATGACGTGAACCTTTTGAGCTCAACACAAGTAGATAATATATTCATCATTATTTTTCTCTTTTACTTCAGTTAAAATTTCCTAAAAAATGTAGGCTGATTTTGCACCTTCGTGGCTTTACTTCTTTGAATTTGGTCCTGGTCAAATGATTTTTTACTGTTATACACGTTCAACCTCAAAAAAAGATTAAATAATTCACAATTTCTAATCTTATCTCTCCTACAAATGTACAATGTGCAGTTTCTGTTTATTGTCTAACTTCTAAATGCACATTTTGAAATTTAGGTTTCAAGGAAATTTCAATATAAATCTCATTCCTTTGAATGATTTCTATCTGCAGCTATTCATGAGATTGATATGTTACAATGGAAAGAGGACGACAAAGTTTACTATGAGTCATACAATTTCCAAGAAATGCTGGAAAAAGTGAAGAATCAGACTCATGTAACATTTGTTGGAGTCCCAGGATCTGGAAAAACAGCCACAGCACGTCACATCGCATTGATGTTACAACAGGAAGGATACGAGATTGTACCAATCAAAGACATCAGAAAGATAGAGGACTATTGTGATCCAGTGAATCCACAGGTTTTTGTTATAGATGATGTGGTAGGTGTATTTGGACTTGAAAAGACAAAATTAAACCTTTTGCATGATTACCAAGATAGAATAATGACACCTGTTATGTCAAAGTCAAAAACTATCATGACATGTAGAGAAGCTGTATATAGAAAAACATTTGAGTCAAGTTCATTTTTTACAGATGAAAGCAATATTGTTCTGTTACACAGTGAAAAATTTGCTTTAACTAACACTGACAAAACTAACATATTGATAAGATACAAAATAGATGTTGATCTGTTGTCTCCAAGTTTGACTTCAGTATCAAGAATGTTTCCCTATCTGTGCAAATTATTTTCATCAGAAAAGAAATTCCAGTTGTATGGGTCAGCATTTTTTAAAAATCCAGTTCCATGCATTTTGAAGGAACTTGAAGAAATGAAAAAGCAAAACAAAGTCCACTATGCTTCTCTGGTTTTATGCACGATGAATGAAAACAAAATATCAGAAAAATTCCCAGAAGAAATAGAAAAGAAAGCAATGTTCCATAACTTTAATGAAATGAAAAATAATGTTCTATTGAAATGCAAACTTAGCAGGCAAATTGATAATTTTAGATTCGTTGATGCATTGTCACATATGAAAGGGACATACACAAAACTTTGTGACACTGAATACAGCCTTGTGCATGATTCTATGTTTGAAATCGTTGCCTATCATTTTGGTTGTCAGTTTCCAGAACTGATTTTACAATTCATGAGCAGTAGCTATATTGCTAACTATGTCAAACTTCAGAAAAATGAAAATCAATATTTACTAAAGAAATATGAAAATGAAAATTCATTAAGAAGCAGTTGTGAACAGGTTGAAGAGGATGTTGCATTCAGTTGCAAAAGCAAAGCTGGCATGGAGTCATTTGATCTCTGTATAAGGTTAACAGAGGATCAGTATTCCTTATTAGCAGAACGTTTATACAAAGATGTAGAAAATATGGAACTGTTTAACGTTTTCACTAATAATGTTTTAAAACAGCATAAGGTGTGCAAAGCTTTTATTGAAGTTTTAAAAAGAAAGCCTTACACAGAATTAAAATCATTGTTTCTGTTGGAGCAAAATGATGCGTCTAAAGTAGTGGGGATAGGTGACTGTGTAATACGGAACGAGCGTGAAGAGAGGGATAAGACGATTAATGATTTTCACAGACAGATGGTTTTGATAAATATGAGACAACCACCACTACGAAAACGAACAAGCAGCGTGAGGGTGATCAGTTGGGTGGTTTATTTCGGACACAGTGAGATTTTACAATACATTTTTGAGCAAACAGAACGACACAAAGAGACTCAATCTGAAGTGTTTTTGAATCCTTTTCACTCTGAGTTAAGCTATATAATTAAGAAAGGCGAGAAGATCACTGCAGCAAACAATGAAACAGATAAGTTATGTCCTCTGAAACCATGGAGTGATTCAATAAATCAATCTGTTTGTGAACAACGTCGCTTACTCATTTTGAGTTGTTACAGTGGGGATCTAGAGACTTTTAAAATATTTATCAAATACGTCAATCTAGATACAATCATCAGAGAATATGAATATTCACACTTTGATGAAATATGGAATGACACACCACTTGCAGCAGCATGTGAGAGAGGAGAAATGAATATCGTGAAAGTGCTTCTGGAAGCAGGGGCTGATGTTAATCCCCAAAGTATGTATAAAACACCACTTACAGCTGCAGCCGAGAGTGGTCATACAAATGTGGTAAATGAACTTCTAAAATCAGGAGCCTGTGTGAATCCACAAGATAAATATGATATTCCGCTGACAGCAGCATGTAGAAAAGGGCACCTGTGTGTTGTTAAACAGCTCCTAGATGCGGGGGCTAATGTTAATTCAGAATGTGCAAATGATACACCACTGACAGAAGCATGTGTTGGTGGACATATAAATGTAGTCAAGGAGCTGGTAAAGGTGGGGGCTGACGTCAATGTACAAGGTATCTTAAACACGCCATTGACTGAAGCATGTGAGAGTGGACAATTAAGTCTAGTGAAGTACTTGTTAGAGGTCGGGGCTGATGTCAATGGTTTATCTAATCAACCACTCAGAACAGCGTGTAAGTGTGGACATTTAGATGTAGTGAAAGCGTTGCTGGCTGCAGGGGCTGAAGTCAATCTACAATGTCATAAAGATACACCGTTAACAGAAACATGTAAAGAGGGACATATGAGTGTCGTAAAGGTGCTGCTAGAAGCAGGGGCTGATGTTAATCTGAAAGGTTTATTTTATACACCATTGACAGCAGCATGTGAGAAGGGACATTTAAGTCTAGTGAAGGATTTGCTACAGGTAGGAGCTGACGTCAATCTACAGGGTGAAAATACACCTCTGACAGAAGCTTGCAAGTGTGGGCATATAGATATAGTAAAAGAGTTGCTAATGGCAGGCGCTGATGTAAATCCACAAGATGAGGATTATACCCCATTGACAGAAGGATGTAGGAGTGGATATATGGTTGTAGTAAAGGAGCTGCTACAGGCAGGGGCTGATATAAATCTACCAGGTGCTTTTGAAACACCATTGGCAGCAGCATGTGAAGCTGGACATCTTAGTATTGTAAATGAGCTGCTCAAGGCAGGAGCTGATGTCAATCCTCAAGGTGAAAATGGTTCACCCCTAACAGCAGCGTGTAAATATGGACATAAGACTATAGTGAATATTCTGCTAGAATCAGGGGCTTCTGTCCATCCACAGTTTACATATATCAACCCACTGACTGCAACATGTACGGGTAGACATCTACGTGTAGTTAAGGATCTGCTATTGGCGGAGGCTGATGTAAATCTACAAGATAAAAGTAAGGTGGCAGACTCAACGATTTGTACTGAAGATGCTGTATCAGCTTTGTGTATTGCATTAGTAAGGGGTCAATTTGATGTTCTAAAACAATTATTTAACGTTGAGGATAGATGTCGGTTGATAAATTTGAACTTACATCTGTACGAGTGTCTGGTAAACATAAGACAAGGCGCCGTTGTGATTGATAGTAAGGATAATGTGGTGGTGACACGGCAACGAGTATGGCATATACGCAGGTAGGATAGGGTTGCCCGTAAAATATCAAACTGTTCAAACCGTAGTAACTTCTCTGAACTACCTAGATATGATTGATTGATTGTATATTATTTAACGTCCCTCTTGAGAAATTTTCACTCATATGGAGACGTCACCGTATGCCGGTGAAGGGCTTCAAATTTAGACCTATACTCGGCACTCAGGGCCATTGAGCAGTGAGGGTTCTTTATCGTGCGAGCGCCTATCGTGACACGGGACCTACGTTTTTAAGGTCATATCCGAAAGACCCGTAACTTTCACTTCTGAGTGCTTGGCGAAGGAACAGTCACTACCTTTGTTTACGTCTTAGGTATGACGCGGCGCCGCGAACGAGAATCGATCCCGGGCCTCCCGATCACGAAGCGAACGCTCTACCACTAGGCTACCGTGACCGGTACCTAGATATGACGTCATAATTGAATAGGACGTCAAGTCACTGCATACTTGAGCTGGCATGACGGGGAAAATGTTATAATGTATACATGGCACGTAGATATATTTTAGGGACTTGTTGTTTAATTCAAGCGTTACGACTGTATTTAAGCTCGAGTGTGCTGATATGATGTTTAATATTTGAAATTTAAATATCCTTTTCCTTTTGCTTGTCCGATATGCACATATTCAAACAATAGCAAAAAATTATGTGTGACACGCTCCCCTTACACGTCCGCAGACAGAGTTAGAATTTATGAATCGTGTTTATATTGGACTGGCACAAGTGATAAACAAGGACAAATTGAAGATATTCTGTGTGAATCAACAAGAGAAGTATGTCTTCTAACCGAGTACTGCTGGGGGACTGTGTTTTCTTTAACAATTTTTGTATAAATCGCGATAAAGGGCGGAAAATATCCCTTCTTAAGATGGTAAGTTGAATTCCTCGTAAAACATTTTCAAAACGAGTAAAAATAAAATCTGCCCCAGCACTTTTTATGTACTAGAGATCACAATGAATTGATCTATGTAACAAATTTTGCACAATGTTTTTGCTTTGCACTTGTGCCGAAGCGTTTTTTGTGCAAGAATTAGGAGTATCACAAATCTCCGTCACGTGATCAACACAGCCATGTGACGTCACGGAAATGCTTTAAAATAAAACAGCTATCATCTCATGTTTTCTGCAATTTCAAAAAAAGATTACATATTAAAATTAAAATCTAGCTCGGAATAAAATGTATACTTTCAAGGCATTTTAAGCCTTCGGACAGCCTTATCATAGCTGCGTAAATAAATTGGGAGATTTGTATAAAACAATCACACATTGAAAATGTGATATACTAAGACATCTCGTAGATTTGGGCTTGAATTCCAATTAGATGATACAAGTGTATCGTGATTTTAATGACGAGTCAGGTGTAAGGCACCCTCTGATGTTTACACTGGTTGATGAAGGGTATGTTACTGACAGAGTAGAAAAGGTACGGATTCTCCTTTAGGCAGGGACGGATGTGAATATCAGGGTTGGGTACAATTGACATGATTTCCCGTTAGACAGAAAGGCATTTTTAAATTTGAGTTCTGCATTAAACAAAGGAGGCGTGTCTATTTTAGAGAAAACGTGGCGACTGGTGAGAACATTTAGGTGTGATAGACGTAAAGGACCCGAGTACAAGAGAGTGCTGAATGAGGTAAAGAAACATGTGAGGCGATATTTTGTATGAATTTATATACTAGTATTCAGGTACTTCTAGCTTAAATGTGTATGCTAGCCTAGTGAAAAAAGTTTATTTAAATTTTTACATTATCTGTCATAGTTTACAGATCATTTTGTTTGTTTGCTGTTTAAAATCATGTTCAAGAATTTTTCACTTTTATTGAAGTTTATTTTAACACACTTTTTGTTTAATAGTGCATGTACATTAATTAAATGTAATCATTAGTAAATATGGATTTTAAATTTTAGAATAAATATCTCAAAAATCTACTTCTTATAATATATTTTTTAAGTTTTTACATGCGAACTATGATTTCAGTTGTTTTGATTAGAAGCAAAATGGACAATCTTAAACATATGACTTGCATTTTGTTCACATAGCTTCTTTTTTTAAGAAGAGGCAGGGTTACAAAATATATAGCATATCATTTTGCAAGCATTTTCAGATAGTGTGTTTTAAAAATTGATTTAAACAGTTGCCCCTGAGTTGAGGTTTGGTTGCAATAAGGAATCATACATTCATACGGAATCGATTTCGATACGAGAAAACATAACAAACTCGGATCATTAAGGGCTAAACAATATCATTTCATTTGTCAAGTATTTGGGTCATTTCTGCCCTCAAGTCCTGTTATTTAAATGACCTTCTTGTCCGAAAATCAATTTCCAGCTGTGTGCTGCGCACCATATAGGGTGTATTTGATTCAAAATTGAGCTGCAACTCTCGAGGCGGATTTCCAAATCAAATAACTCGAACACGACTCGCGTTTTTTAGAATAAGGTCACGAACATACTCTCAAAATTTACAAGAATGAACAAGAACAAAGATGGCTGAAAACATCAACAGTGAGGTAAGTTTCGATTTTAGAAATAAATTAAAATTTTAATTAATAAATAGGTATATCGTCTAATACTTCAAAACGGAAAGCAACAAAATGACCACTCAAACTTTTACCACATTACATCTGGTCTAAGTTGATTTATGGCAGAAGAAAATAAACAATTGAAATTTGTCGTTTCCCCCATATCGTTTTTTTCCTTACTTACTTAAAAAAATCATACATAATAAAAAGACGAACAACGTCCATTTTTAATGCACTCGAGTCGTGTTCGTGTTGTTTTATTAAAATTAAACTGTTTTTGTTTGTGTACATGCTCAATATCAGCCCAACTTATACTACAGTTGACAAATCAAATGCGCTCTTAGTGTCCACACCAAATCCACCCAGCTCAATTGACCTAGATTTGTGAATAATTTTCAGCTTATTGTTTTCTGCTGACTTAATGTCCAAGCTATCTATAGTAAATGTTTTTTTTTATGTTTTTTAATCAATTTGCAATATTTTGCATGAGTGGAATTCTAAAGCTTTAATTTTATTGTTTTCATTTTCAATTGTTTCTGTGAAGGAACCGCTTGCAGACTTCATTATGTCTGCTTGATCACACCCTTCGAATTCTAGCGTCAAACGTCGCATACGGTGTAATTTTTTTTTTCTGCGTTTTTAAGGTGGAATGCCACACAAAATTTATTTTTTTATTTCATAGATCTTTGCGTCATCCTTTTTAAAAAATAGTTTTGGCGTTGAAAGTCAGATATAAGCTCTTTATCATTTTATATTAATTTGTTTGTATTTTTTCAAAGAAAATAAAAAAAAAAAATCCTTTATATGTGTATGTTTCTAGGTAAAAATTTGCTGTAAATAAATGCTTCATATGAATATCTAATAAAATATGTCAAGAAAGGCTGGCTAGACTTTGATTAAAAAGAATATGAATGTTGTGAGGTGTGTTGTAGTTGTATTGTTTCATCATATATATGCTTAGTAACATTAAGAAGTTTCTTCAACTTTCCAGAGTGGTCATTTTTCTAGAACATCTGTGAATGTCCAGGTTATTCCAGTAATATCATGTCTTTATAACTCTAGAATTTTCTAGATTTATGTTTATGTATAAATACACTGTCAATCGTAAGCATTATATACTGTTACTAGAGCGATGGCCAGAAGATGAGAAATGCAGGCAGACCATACTCAAGGCTTTGTCGAGACGAATTTCTCTGTTGATATTGATTTGAATGACACTTTCTTGTCTGACCTTGATGGCACTCAAAAAGGCATGGAACCACACAATATCAAGAAGTCGGTGAAGAATGAACCTTTGCTAAAATTTAGTGGTGATGAAGATGAGTCAAATCTACCAGAAAGCCAAGACAAGAATATCCTAAGTCGAGAGCAGTTACATTCTGAACATAAAAGAGACCCAAATATCATTCAACTGAGTGAGAGGACACTTCGACAAGAAAATGCCACTTAAGTTGGATAATGCTTCTGTATGAAAGGTGGCATACTTATGAAGAAGTAACGACCACCTGATGCTTACTCAGATGAATTATGGTGTGTTGTTCACTATCTAGTGGCCCCAACTGCTTATCATCGAGACGTCATGAGTTTAGCTAACGGTACACCTATGGCGGGTCATTTAGTTGTCAATGAGACTTATTATAGGATTTTGAGTCATTTCTATTAGCCTAAGCTAAGAAAGGATGTTTCTGAGTTTTGTAAGTCATGGCATAATTGTCAGATGGTAGGTAAACCGAATCAGAAGTTACTGTCTGCTCCTCTCCAACCCATTTCAGCTTTTGAAGAACCGTTTAGTCGAGTTTCGGTGGATTGTGTAGGACCTATGCCTAGGACTAGGTCAGTAAACCAGTTTTTACTTACCATTATGTGCACATTCACCCGATTCCTTGAAGCCATACATCTCAGGAATATTGAGGCAAAGACCATAGTTAAGTCTCTGACTTTTTGTTTTTCAGTTTTGTGGGAGCATATAAGGCAATTCAGTTAGATAAAGACTCAAATTTTATGTCAGGATTGTTTCAGCAAGCCAAGCATGAGTTTGGTATTAAGCGATATAGACCAACTGCTTATCATCCTGAGTCCCAAGGGACGCTAGAACCATTTCATCAGACCTTCAAAACAATGCTGAAGACCTTTTGTTACCAATATGAGAAAGACTGGGATAAAGGGGTTCATCTAGTACTATTTACTGCACGAGAGGCTATCCAGGAGTCTCTTGGGTTTAGTCCTTTTGAATTGGTGTTCGGTCATACTGTGAGAGGTCCTTTGAAATTGTTGAAGGAAAAGTGGCTGACTGAGACTAGTGATCTTTTAGATTATGTGACTAGTAATATTTTATATTATGTGACTAGTAATCTTTTAGATTATGTGTCTTATTTCAAAGAAAAATCTTAACAATGCTTGTTAATTTGCACGAGAAATTCGAAGACTTCTCAGATGAAAATGAAAGAGAGGTGTGACAAAGATGCAAGAAATAGGTTTTTTAAGCATGGGATAAGGTTCGTGTAGTTTTACCTTTTCCTGGTCATCCTTTACAAGCCAGATATTTTATGGCCCTTGTGAAATTGAAAGCAAGATTAGTGATATAAACTATGTAGTTCAGATACCAGGCCGACGTAAAGAGAAACGAGTTTGTTACATTAACATGTTGAAAGAGTATTTTGAAAGGTGTGACCGAAATTCTGTAAAACTAGTTCCCACTTTAGGCAATGCGCAGACTGTTCAAAATTGTATTGGAAGTGAAACGAACGAATGTAGAAATGAATGAGAAAGATTGTATTCAGAGTGTTTGAAAAACTCAGAAATTTTGGCTGATTTGGATGCCACACTTGGACATTTGAACATTCACCGAAAAGAGCAAGTAAAAATCTGATAATGGAGTATCATCTAATCTTTTTGGATGTTTCAAAGAAAACTAATGCAGCCTGTCATGATGTCATAGTGGGCGACGCTCTATCCATTAAACAACATCCGTACCGACTAAATCTAATAAAATTGCAGTACCTAAGTAGGGAAGTGCAGTACATGTTGGACAATGACATTGTTGAACCTCGTAAAAATAATTGGAGCTAACCATGCATTCTTGTTCCAAAATCGGACGGTACCTACCAATCATGTACAGACTTTAGAAAGGTGAATTCTGTTACAAAAACTGATTCATATCTAATACCTAGAATCGATGACTATATTGGCAAAATTGGAAACGCCAAATTTGTCAGTAAATTAGACCTATTGAAAGGCTACTGGCAAGTGCCGTTAACAGAAAGAGCAAAAGAAATATCTGCTTTCGCTAATGTAATGTAATGTAAAGGGATGAAAAACGCACCGGCTACATTCCAAAGGATGATTCATTCCCTTCTTCAAGACCTCGAGGGATGCGAGGCCTACATTGATGTCATCATATACAGGGACACATGGGACGAACATCTCCGAATCATGCGTGCTTTATTTGACATTTTAGCTAAAGCAAATTTAACTTAACCTTGAAAAGAGTGAATTTGTAAAACTTATGTAGAGTATAAAGTCAGTAAGAAGGTCATCAAGGTTTTGTTACACCCATTATGGCTAAAGTGGAAGCTATTGCAAAGTTCCTGATTCCTACAAATAAGAAAGAGTTAATGAGGTTTTTGAGCATGGCTGGTTTTTAAAGAAAATTTTGTCTAATTATTTCCTCAGTAATAAGTCCCCTTACAAATCTTTTGCAAAAGAGGGTTAACTTTGAATGGACATAGGACTGTTAAAAATCATTTCATAAAATCAAATTTGTCCTTATGAGCAATCCAGTTTTGTCAACTCCAGAGTTTTTAAATCAATTTCCTCTAACTGTTGATGCTAGTGATGTTGGAATCGGGGCAGCTTTGTCAAGAACATAGTGATAAGGTAGATAGAGTTGTTTCTTATTTTTCAAAGAAATTTACAAAAAGTCAACAAAAGTATTCCACCACTGAAAAGGAATGCATTGCTTTGTTGTTAGCCTTACAACATTTTGATGTTTATTTGAACGTTTCTTTACATTCAATTCTCGTATTTACGGATCACAACACCCTGCCAGTTTTGCATAAATTGTCAAACAAGAACCAAAGACTGACTAGATGGAGTTTGTTGTTGCAAGAATATAAAATTACAATAAAGCATATGAAAGGCAAAGACAATGTTATTGCAGATGCTAGCAAATAGTAGCGTAAACTTACTAGATTTTGTATCAATGTACATATGTTTTGCAAATTTAGTTTTTCATTGACATTCAACCTTTTAAGGGGTGGTGGTGTTGTGAGGTGTGTTCTATTTGTATTGTGTCATCATGTATATAATTAGTAAACATTAATAGGTTTCTTGAACATTCCATAGTGGTCATTTTTTTTTAGAACATTTGTGAATATCAAGTTGTTCCAGTAATATAATTATTATAGGGGAATCAAGTTTTACATAGAAATATATAGAACGAGTCTCTGAAAATCTTCTTCTCAAAAACCATTAGGCCAGGAAAGTTGTAACTTATATGGAAACATCCTTGGGTAGTGTAGATATTAAATTGTTAAAATCATGACCCCCGGGTTTAGGGCGGAGCGACTATAGGGAATCCAAGTTTTACATAGAAATATATAAAACAAGTCTTTAAAAATTTAATTTTTAAGAACCACTGCATGGACCATAAAAGCTAAAACTTATGTGGAAGCATCCCGGTGTAGTGTAGATATTAAATTGCTAACATCATTCTTCTGGGTGTAGGGCGGGGACACAGTAGGGAATCCAAATTTTACATAGAAATATATAGAAAAAATCTTTAAAAATATTCTTCTCAAAAACCAATGGGCCAGGAAATCTGAAACTTTTGTTGAAGCCTCCTGGTGAAGTGTAGATATTACATTTCTAAAATTGTGATCCCCGGGGTGTAGGGCGGGCCCACAATAGGGAATCCAAATTTTACATAGAAATATATAGAACACATCTTTAAAAATCTTCTTATCAGGAACCACATGGCCAGGAAAGCTGAAAATTATGTCGAAGCATCCTTCGGTAGTGTAGCTATTCGATTGTTAAAATCAAGACCCCCGGGGGTATGGAGGGGCTGCAATAGGGAATCCAAATTTTACATAGAAATATCCTGAACAAATCTTTAAAAATCGTCCTCTCAAGAACCCCTGGGCCAGGAAAGCTGAAAGTTATATGGAAGCATCCTTGAGTAGAGTAGATATTAAATTCTTAAAATCATAAAAGGGAAAGGGGTAGTGCTGCATGATAGGTATATCAAGAGGGGGGATCTGGTAAGAACTGCATCACCGAAGTTACTCAGGTGGGCGATGTGTCCCATGGGCATCTTGTTTTTTTTTAAGTTTATTAAAAGGCCTAATTAATATAAACATTATGGAAACATCGTACAAATGAAATGAATCAGCGGATTGAGTTAAGGGACTTTGTTTCATCAAAATTGATTTATATGATTTTTTTAAATTGACATTCAAGCAAGGAAATAATTTTCTTTAAATCCATCCAGTGTAATATAATTGAATTAATTTAGAAAAAAAAATCTTTAATGAGTGTAGTTCACACAAGGTATGAACGGAATCACGAAAATAGATACTGTTTGACACAAGGTAAGAAGGCAGTTCAGGTATGTTGACGGTGAACTCACACGGGCCCAGCTGTCATTCAAAGTAGGACATAGCACGCGTGGATTCTATTATAACCAATTTCTTAAAAAGTACCGGTGAAAAGAAGAAGAAAAGTACTATATTGACAACAATGAATGGTCCCTGTCAGAAAAATAATAATAATTTTTGGCATGTGTGCGTCATATTTTGTGAAAAAATCAAGGAATCCTATACATTGGTCACTTGGGGCTTACATTTTGGAATGTATTTATGCTAACAGTCTGTTATAAAATGCAGTGTAACGTTTGTTCCATACAGAGTAGAGGAATGATATTTAGACAAATATATAAGATGTTTCCATTCCTTATGTACTTAAGAGTTCAAAGTCATATCAACGGTCAAATATTGTGACGTCATCTACTGTATCTTTTAGTTTTTTTTTTTGCCATTGAAATTTTTTAATCACAAAAATATCCGAAACCACTGGTTCAATTTTCTTCATTTTTACACATTTTATTCTAAGACCCATTTGAATCATTCTGTTGATTTTATGTAAAACTTGAATTATACATTTTCTCTTAACAAAACTTAAACTGTCGGATATAAACATGTGAATTTTCAATTTCGACGCTATGTATGTTCTATTTTTACTTAATATTTTACTCAAATTTTCCAATATCAAGTTGACTCCCTAACTTAAAGCAACGAGAAGGATATCTTTATTAAAAGTTTTACACAAATTTGCAATAGATCAATTGATAATTCTAAAATAAGGCTCGTTCTCTAATGTCAGAGTTCACAATCCTCTTACAGGGGTCTGATAGGCCATATTTCAGACTATCTGGGCAAAAAATGTGCGGTTGAATTTCTTTCATATCATATACAGAGATTTTGTATCTTAGAACAAAATATCAAAGTTTCAGGAAAATTGCATTTGAGGAAAATTTTGGTCTTTCTATTGTGTCCTACCTTAATGGGAAAGGGGAGAAGGGGAGGGGTGTTGACCGCACAGGAAGGCAGTGTGCTCATTAGAGTGGTACACATACGTGTCAGTTTCCAAGCCGAAAAAGTAGGCTGTTTAAAGACATCATGTTTTTCCCGTATATTATTTTAAGATTATCTAATTCAAGATAAAACTAATGACAAACATCTTTTTTATAGTAATTTTGATTTTTTCTTTTAATTTAGACATATTAAGGGAATAAACTAATTAGATAAAAATAAATTTTAAAAATTCAGCCTACACGGACAAGATCAATGTTTTCTGGATCGATGCTTAAAATGCTTCGTTATTTTTTTTTTAATCAAGATTTTAAATAATTGTGCATACATGCAGATCAGAGGCGAAAACACATTCCCAATATTACCAGACGGGAGAAAATGTATATTGCATTTTAAAAAGATTTTAAAAAGATACATACTTGTATCAATCTCCTGCCAATTAAGGTCTTTCGTCTCCAACGGAAGACCTTATTGTTTTCGTTCGGTTTCTTTTTCCCTATTATTATCCTTTTTTTCTCTTACCGATTTTGTGCACGCGATTTCTCGTAAACGGCTCGTCCGATTTCACCAAACTTTCAGATCTGATAGATATCTATCTGAAACTTGTCAGAAATTTTAGTCGTCGATGACGTCACTTCCGGTTGTTAGATATGAACAATTTTCAGATGTTTAGAGGGTCGGCTTGTCCTGGAAACTCCTCCGGAACGACTTAAAAGATTGACTCAAGATTTTCAGTGAAAGTAAGGGAAGATTTGCTGAGTTGCAGGCAGGCGTTCAAATCTTCATAGCGCAGAAGGCGCCGAAGCTCGGTGAAGCCCAAAAAATGTCTCGGAAACATCTCATAAAAGTTGACATCTTTTGTTTTA